CAAGAAGAAGTGGCACAATCTATGTTTTACTTTTAAATCTTTATATATGGGGGAGATATGTACATTGTTGTGAAGTATGCGCACATGTGTAAAAGTGCACATGTATGCACATCTGTGGAGTTCACAGGTCATGTGTCTTCCTTAATCTCTTCTCCACCGTTTATTTATTTTTTTTTTAAGATGGGGTTTCTTCACAGAACCTTACTGATTTGGCTAAGGAGCTTTAAGGCTCTACCCCTCCGTCTCCACATAACCCAGCACTGTCACCCAGCATTACAGATGAGTACCACCATGCCCAGAGATTTTTATGAGGGTGTTGGGAAACAGGACTCAGAACATCATGTTTGCATGGCGGAAGTGATACTGACTGAGCCATCTCTCTAGTCCCTTAACTCTGTTTAGGCTAATTATTCAATATGATAAGTCACTGTCATCATTCTTAGTAGTATTATTTACCCCAATAGACTGTTCAATTTCCTTTCTTTAATTTTTTAAATATTATAGAAAACAATGGTTTTCATTATAGCATTTTCAAGCATATATACTCGGACTTATAAATCTTTTCACCTGTACATCCAGAATTGTTAGTTAACAAATTCTGCTTTCTACACAATTACGGGACACTAAGCTTCACGCACTACACAGCATGTACAAGTAGTCTCTTTCTCTTTAGTTTCCAAGAGCATGTTCGTACTTCTTTCTGAAGCTTAGAGTGCAGATTATGACAATTATTTAGGTCTTCCTAGACTGCTTTAAACCTTAGGGTAATCCTCACAATTCTTATTCCTACCGCCTTTCCAGTTCTAAAACGACTCCATTGTTTGAGGCATTTGTTTATTACATTTGCAGCCAGTTTTCAAGCACCAAAACCTGAGTATCATAATGGCATTAAAATAAAGACTTCCAGTTATATGCCTGTATTATCTTACAATATTTATGGATTAGGGCAGTGGTTTTCAACCTTCCTAATGCTGCAACCCTTAATTACTGTTCCTCATGTTGTGGTCACCCCCAACCATACAATTATTTTCATTGCTACTTTATTATCTGTAATTTTGCAACTGTTACTAATTATACCATAAACACCTGTCTTAGGTATTTCCCAGTGGTCTTAGGTGACCCTGTCAAAGGGTAATTCCACGTCCCAACAAAGGGGTGACAACCTATAAGTTGAGAGCCACTGGGTTAGGGTACCAGGCACAGCTAAATTTATGTTCTCTATTTAACGTCAAGTGAATGCAGCTAAAGGGTTGATCGTGCCTGGGACCAGGAGTTCTCTCCTAGTTTACTAGTTACATTAGTAGAGCTCAGCTCTTCTGCAGACAGGACTGCGGCCTTCAGCTCCTGGGAACTGTCCACCATCTGTCACATTGCTATTTCATATGGAGTCTACTTCTTCAGAGGCGGCAGGAGAACGTCTTTGCTATTCCTCACCCTTGAGGATTTTAAAAAGGAATTATCCGATCAGTAAGACACACTTTTGGTTAAGGCCCATAAAAAATACGAAATTCAAAATGTTCCAAAGCTGTAGTTTTTTATACCATATCAATGCTGAGAAAATTTCAGGTTTTCTGATTAGAGGCGCTCAATCACTGAAATCTGAAATATTCCAAAAGTTGAAAAATTCAATTATCTGAATACTTCTGGTTCCACACACTTCACATACGGAACACTTAATCTGTGATAATAGCTTACAGGTACAGATCACTTACACTTTACACATCAAAGCACTAATACTGTCTTTGCAATGTCTCATTTCATCTTTATAATTACCTGTGAGGTAGGTACTTTTATTCCTGTTGATTACTAATGCAGAAATGTTCTTTAAATAAAGGGATTTTTTTTTGTATCTTTGCCTATGAAAGTCAGTAGAGCAGACAATGCTACATCGACATTTTTTTTACTGCTAGATAAAAAGATGTTTATTTCTAAACATCATCTTTCATAATCCTCCATGTAAATATTTCTTGTAGATACTGCTCAATTTACTGAAGTTTTCTTAACACAATTTGTACAAATTAAAAACAACCATTAAAGCAAATAGCTAAATCAATCCTTCCCTTCCTCCTCCTCTTGTGTATTTCTTTAGATTATTTTAAGTGTATGTTTGGGGGGGGAATATGTATATGTGAGTGTTGGTGCTCATGGTGTGTACAGGTGGAGTTGCAGGAAGCTGTGAGCTGGACATGGGTGTTGGGGATCAAACTCAGATCCTCTACAAGAGAAGTAAATACAGTAGCCAGTCCATTTATATATTGTGATAGCTATCTGACTATATATATATATATATATATATATATATATATATATATATATAAATATATGTATGCATACGTGTGTGTGTGTGTGTGTGTGTGTGTGTGTGTGTGTGTGTATGGTCTGATAACTATCACAATAAAACCAGGTATGTTAGTAAAACACAAGCTTTCCTAGAAGAATTACATTTGTCAGCAAACATTGGCATTTTATAATGCCCAAGGTTTTTTGGCAAGTTATACCATCCAAAAAATATACAAATAAGAACACAGGAAGAATAGTATTTCACTTCAACATGAGGAAGAAAATGTTTGGCAAATACTAATCTATAAATAATAATGTATTATTTTTAAAAGTTAACTAGGGACCTGGAGTGATGGTTCAGTGTTTGAAAGCACTGGCTACTACTCTTCCAGAGGACCTGGGTTTGATTCCCAGCACCCAAATCACAGCTCACAAGCTTCTTCAACTCCAGTTTCAGGGATCTGTCCTCGCTAGTTTCTATTCCTGTGATGAAAGACTATGAGCAAAAGCAAGTTGAGGAGGAAAGGGTTTATTTGACTTACATTTCTCCATCACGGCTCATCATCAAAGGAAGTCAGGACAGGGCTCGTACCTAGGAACTAGTGCAGAGGTCATGAAGAGGTGCTATTTACAGCCTGATTTCTTATAGAACTCAGGAACACCAGTCCAGGGATGGCACCACCCACCTTAGACTAGGCCTTAATCACTAATTAAGGAAATGTCCCACAGGCTTGCCTACAGCCTGCTCTCCTGGAGGTATTTTCTTAACTGAGGCTCCCTCTTCTCTCAAATGACGTCAGCTTGTGTCCACTTGACATATAATTATCCAGCATAGGATCCAACACCTTCTTTTGGTCTCCATGGGCACTTGACAAACATGTGAGGCACAGACTTACATGCAGGCAAAGCATCCACATATTAAAATAAAAGTAATTTTAAATTTTTAAGTGAACCAGGTAGCTCGGCTTTGCCTGTAACTCCAGACACAGAATAGGCCAGAGAGAAGAAAATCTAGCTCGGTACCAGCATTGCATGGGGAGGAGGTCCCATTTCAAAGCAAAAGTTGATTAGGGTTCTCTACTAGTAAAAGCATTGAAGCAGAAAACAGAAAGCCCTTTATAAAATCTGCTCTATTTTAAATGGAATCTTAGTTTTCTAGGTCATGAAAGAAAATTAAAACCTGGGGGGCTAAACAAAACAAAACAAAACAAACAAAAAACAGAAACGTTTGTTTCAGAGTTTAGGGGTCTTGAAGTCTCAAATCAAGCAATGATTCCTTTGAAATCTACAAAAATCATTCCTTGCCGTTTCCTGAGTTCTGCTAATATATTAAAATACAGATGCCTCCATCAGCACACAGCAGTCTCTATCACCCCATGTGCCTTCGTGTCTCGTCTCTTTTCTTATAAAAATGTCTAACACTGGGCTAAAGGCTCACCATATTCTAGTATGACCTCATTAACAATAATGCCTGAGATAATTGTTTTCAGATGAGATCATATACTGAAGGATTAAGACTTCAACCTGCCTTTTTGAGGGATAAAATGAATTTGTAACAGATATGGAAGAAAACTAGACAACAACTTTGAAGATACTGATACTCTAGGCATACATGAGAAAGAATTCCAGCATTCTATAGTAACAGAACAATAAACTTGATTCACTGTTTATTCCACTCATTCCTGACATTCATTCAACAAATATGAATTTGCTAGGTCTAAACATTAGAGATACACTGAAAACAAGTTCCTGCCTTAAATCAGAATGAAATGCTATCATTAAAGAATCAACAATGTGCCAAGTAGTTAATAAAAATATATACTATCTCATTAGGAACTTACAACAAACACATTAGGTAGAAACTTTTATTATCTTTACCACATGGAAAAGATAAAGTATAGAAACAGTTACTTGATGAAGGTCATCATTGACCCTTTTCCACTACAAAGGTCCTTTTTCATAATAAATTCTTTGACTTGCAATCTATTTTATGTGATGCCAATACAGCCACTTCAGCCTTAAGCTTATTCTCATACACGCTTAGGGCAAACAAACATATATTTAGACTTTACTCTTAAGAGACAGATTAAATGGACAATATCTAAAGAGTTGCCTCAAGCTCAGCATTGCTTCCATTTAGAACTACATGGAGAAACCCTGTTTCAAATAACAAAATTAAAATAAAAAACTTCTTCCATTCATATAAGCCTCTCAACTTGTATGCAAACAAATTACAATCCACTAACTCTACGAGAGCAGAAATTGTTGCACGTATAGTAAAAACACCGTCAGTTGTTGCATACAACAGTCTCAAACATGAGATAAGGTGTTTCAGAAGATGATCTTTTGGTGGCATATGGCTTGATGGTATGCACGGTGAAAATACTCAAACTGCATGTTCAGAACCGAGGCTGCAGTAAACCATGCAATGTAACATATGTGAGTGTTGCCAGAAACACCTAAGATTCATTAGTGTTTCAATTTACTTTTAGAAGTTACCAAAAATTTTCATGACCCCCACATTACTTAAGCAATTTAAGATGAGGCTAGGGCCTAGAGTTTAAGAAGTTAAATAGAATATATGAAAGACTGGATTATATAGCAACTGCAGATACAGCAAAGTAACCATTAGCAACATAGCAAGAAACATATTTACCAAAACTACTTATTTTCAATAACGACATGACTAATTTTATATAAATTCAAATATACTTTCTCACCTGCAGCTTCATTTTTTCCAAGTCTTTAATTTTCTCTACTAATTCCCCTCTTAGCTCTTCAAGGAGCAGCTGGAATTTTTCCTGGTTAGTTTGCTTTTCATGTAACACACGCTTAAGTTCATTTTGTGATTTTACGTATTCTTCCTGCAACCTGATTTTTAAAAAAGAATTCAATTTTAAGTGCATATTTTATTTCAAATTCACTGCTTTATATAAAGCAAACCAATACTACAGAAAAACAAGATAGATAAGACATTCCATTAGACATATATTTTCTTCACAAACTTTCATCTAATTATTAAAGTTATAATTTCTGAAAGCAATTTTATTTTAAGAAAAAAACCCACCTAGATATATTTAATGTTTTATGTCTTGCTACTTTCAAATAATACTACATCTACAACTAACTTAATATCACAGATTTGAACAAAGTAATCTATTTTTACTATATTGTGTTAACTATATACACTGCAAGATAACAAAAATATACCACATGTTCCAGAGCAAACATTCAGCCAATACAACTCCAGTACCAATTTTTAAAGCAGTCACTTGTTGCCCACACTTCATCTCTAAATTTAAGTAATTTACCTTTTGTGTTCAATTTTGAGAGCCTGATAATTATGCTTATGATGTTCACATCGTACCCTTTCATCAATTAACATATTTTGGAACTCAGGCTCAGGATTCAGCCGACTGTCTCCACCAGGTGGAAATAAACTGGGAAACGTGTCCATATTTGTAAGGTAGCCGACAACCATGAAAAGAATAAGCTGTGGGTTTCGTGTTACTTCAGTTTCCTTTCAGGAGTATTTCCAGCTTCGTTCTTGCTAAGGCAGAATCCCAGGAGACCGAATCATGCCTGCACAGGGAATGCACGTAATTAATACTCAGCAGCTTAAGCATCTTTTGGTTCCTCATAATGGTTAGCAATTATTTTTTCCTATCTTTTTTATTTTTAAAGTTCAGTTTTTAGATTTCTACCTGTTAATAAAACAAATAAAGTTCAACAGTAGATTTACACTTTTCCTTTACTCACAGGAAGAAACTCTGTAACCATCAAGTTCACATCTCCAAACACTAGCCTACTAAATCACAAGTATGGTTCTCCCAGTTTAAGTTATCTTTGATTCACTAATTAAGGTGTTTCTCAAAGTTACTGTAGGAAACGTTCAAGAGTGGGGGCTGGCATAAAATATTTATTTCCAATAATGGGGGGATTATAAAGAAATAGGTAAGTATCTGGAGAAAAGGAGCAATCTTCACAAGGATGACCTCCAGTAATTCCGTCTGGGAGAGGTGCTGCAGGTCTTCTGACACACCATAAGGTGCACGTGGGAGGCAGACTCAGATGAGAAATCAATTAGCACACAAATATTGATCTTTTCCTATGTGTTACTAAGCTAAGAACAGAAACGATCACTTCACCTATCCCCAAACATACTGATCTAGCATTAATTACTATAGTAACTAAATGTTTATTGTATGTACAAGTTAAAAGTGATGGGAAAATGTTTTATTATAAGAAAATAAAATTGTCAGGCGGTGGTGATATACACCTTTAATCCCAGCACTTGGGAGGCAGTGGCAGGTGAGTCTCTGTGAGCTCAAAGCCAGTCTGGTCAACAAGAGCTAGTTCCAGGACAGGCTCCAAAACTATAGAAAAACCCCGTCTTGAAAAACCACAAAAAGAGAGGGAGAGGGAGTGGGAGAGGGAGAGAGAGGGACAGAGGGGGAGAGAGAGGGAGAGGGAGAGGGAGAATCGACTCAACCTTTCTCCAGACCACTATGTATACATTTTTCCTTCCCTCAGAGGTCATCATGAACTACTTTCTACTACAATAACGGATCTTTTTAGGTTATGGAAACCATTCACCAAATTACACCATCTTGCTTGAAATACATACCCTCTGCTAAATTACTGTCGTGTCTACACATATATACATATGCATGAACACACATACACACCTATAATCTGGAAGTGGACTGCTAGGCTTCCCATTACATTACAATTTAAAGAAGCGTGTGTGGGAAGAGTCTTTTAAGGCACTTTTCTCCCTTACTCTCCACTCCTCATTTTTAAACATTGCTCAAATGACCAAATAAACACAAAAAGAGATTCAACTTTCTGGATTTTCTGGGGAAAGCTGCAAGAAGCTCGCTCCCCCTGGCTTACATTTTGCAGAGAACATCTTGACGCTGCGCACAGCTGCCACGTTGCCAGCCAGAGGTGGCAACATCAACTTACAGCACGTTCCTGATTCTCAGTGCATTTGAAAGGTTCACCCTAACAAGCAGAAAGCTCAACAACGTGAAAAAATTCAAAACTCTTCCTATATAACAGGAAATGAGGTCACAAGGTAAACCATACCTACAAAAGTGAAGAGGCCAATAGGAAAATTCAAGACTAACAGACTTGAATTCAATACTAGAAAAGAAAATGACAAGTAGGAATGTTTCCAGGCAAGGATAGCAGAACCAGAAGTATAATTTAAAAGAAAAAAAAAACTGATGAAAGCTAGATGCAAGCAGCTCTCAGAGTTAAAAACTCCAGGAGGACCCAGTTTTAGGCAGGCCTCATATTTTCTAGAGTTTTACTTCCTGGAACCAACCAGATTCTCGACATAAATACCAGAGGAAAAAAAATCTTCTCATGGCAAAGAAAGGGAGCACAAAAGCACTCTGAAATAGACAGGGGCATAAGAAAAGCACTAAAATCTAGCACTTTCCTGCTGCTCCTCCCACAAGAGGAGTGCAAGGAGACTCAATGTCACTGGCAATGTTGCTAGCCCAAGAGTAAAAAATTAAATAACCCAAAAAACCTTACCTGAAACAGGGATTTTCAACTTCAGCATTACTGCCATACAAAAGAATACAGTCCTTGGTTGTTAGGAGGCTATCTTGTACATACGGTATTTAACAACATTCTAGTCCCCATTCATTAGATGCCTAAAGTACCTCTCTCCCAGTTGAGAAAGACAAACATCTACACATATTGCTATATGCAGTCTACCCCTTCTACCCCAGAACCCCACCCCATTAAGAGTGAGTGGCCTAAGAAGAGAAGTAAGAAAAGAGACATTGTAAACCAGAGATTTAAACAAACACCAGTGTTATCTTTTTGTACTCTGTGAAGCTATATCTTTGTCAAGGCACCTTCTGATTGGTTTAATGAAAGAGCTGACTGGCCAATAGCTAGGCAGGAAGTGGTTAGGTGGAAAAGCTAAACTAAGAGGATGCTGGGAAGAAGGGCAGAGTCATGGGGAGATGCAGGGGAAGCAGGAAATAAACATGCCATGCTGAAAAAAAGGTACTGCCACATGGTAGAACACAGATAAGAAATATGGGTTAACTTAAGTGGAAAGAGTAACAAGCCTAAACTATTGGCTGAGCATTTATAATTAATAGTAAGTCTCTGTGTGGTCATTTGGTAGCGGGCTGGCAGGACAGAGAATGTCTGATTACACATTAGTAATTGTACTAACATATGCAGAATACATGTCTCAAATAAAAACAAATTTAAAAGAAAAATCATAACTATATGTACCTTCACAAGAACTTTTTATTGAAACATAGCAGCAAAGAAAAGTTAAAGGAAAAGGGAGAAAAATACTGCAAGCACTAGTTGAAAGATAAATGGTAAATCTGCATTATCAGATAAAGTCAATTTTTAAGTCCCCTCCAACAAACAAAACTAGAAAAATGAAGGACATCCATAATGATAAAGGTTAAATCCACCAGGCAGAGGTGGGTTGTTTTAAATTTATATATTTATTAGGGCCACTTAATACATATGCAGACTTGTCAAAGATATAAGAAAAAACAAATTTATAATCATAGAGAGAAAATGTTACCACAATTCCTGGTGACTAACAGAACAAGCAAGTTCTGTGGATTGTTTTCTGTTTGGAAGGGGAAATGTAGGAATGGTTATTACATGCATATGTCTAATTTTATAATTCAAAACTAACAAATCCTTTTCTAAGGTAGTTGTGCCATTTTCCATTCAACCAACAACATATGAGAGTGAGTTCCGCTTCCTTACATTTTTGCTAACAGTTGGGGCTGCAAATCTAATTTTAGCCATTTTAGGGAGTATAAAGTGATATCTCATTGTAGTTTTAATCTGCAGTTCCCTTAAGCACTTTTTTACATATTTAATAGCCTATAATAGATCTTTTAAATCTGTGAAAGAATCTTTATTTGAAGAACAATCAAAGTAAAAAGTAAATGGAAAAATGGGAGATAGCTGAGTATATTTTAGGGGGTAAAAGCCAAAATTTAAAATTTCTCAGTACACTAACCACTTACATAAGTACACATTTCCCCATTTGTAAATACTAACTTCATTTCCTAGAAAACCTTTCCCATCACTCTACATATGATCTTAAATTTATCTTAAATAGTATATTGATTCTTACCCAATTTTCAAAACACTGCCAAAGCAGTAAAATGAATCAATGTTTCCAGCACACAGGAGGCTGAGGCAGAGCATAACAACACACTTAGACTGTCTCAAAAGAGAACCCAAACACCAAAGCTCAATAACACATTATATCCTCAATGAAGTACTAACTCTAGCAAACATAATTAACTTTCTGTTATACTAGCTTAGGTGGTTTGAAAGAAAAATTACCCCCAACTGAAGTGGCACTATTAGGAGGTGTATCCTTTTTGAAGACAGTGTGTTGCTATAGTGCTGGGTTTTGAGGTCTCTTTTGCTCAAGCTTCCCTCGATGTGACTGTCAATTGACTTCCTGTTGCCTATAAAATGTAGCAGTCTTGGCTCCAGCTCTATACCTGCCTGCAAGTCACCATGTTCCCTAACATGATGATGATAATTGAATCCCTGAAATTGTAAGTGAGCCGTCCCAATTAAATATTTTCTCTTTAATAATTGCCATGGTCATGGTGTCTCTTCACAGCAATAAAAACCCTAACTACAACAGAAGTTGGCAGCAGGGACTAAGGTATTGCCGTGATAGACCTGACCACATGCTTGTTTGGAAGAATGTGGACTTTGGTACTTTGGGTTTGAAAAGCAGTAGAATGCTTTAAGCACTGCTTATTCAGGCACACTAGCAGGAACATGGAAGACAGTGGTACTAAGTGCTGCAGGAGCTCCTTCCGCTCCTTCAGCTAATAGCCTTTGAGATACCAGCCCACTGGGGAGTGGTATCTTTCGCTTTAAAAAAGCAGCAGCAGCCCTCCACTCTCTCTCTTGCTTCAGACTCCACTTCTGGCTACCAGGCACTTTTCCTGGTCGTGCAGGAGGCTGTTTTCTAGGACGGTGATCTGTAAGTTTTTCCCTTTAAATAAATAACCCTTTTATTAATCATAATTCCAAACCGGTGTGGGATTGTTTTGTGACTTACTCCTTTATCTGGCCTCCAATGTTTGGGCAAATCCCCCCACCCCCCGACCTCCCAGCTTGGTTGCCCACCACCAGTGCAGCTTGGCTCGAGCCCCGCATTGGGCACCACTCTGTAGTATGAGAGGGCCTGCTTTTGGTCCTGGCCACCCAGCTAGCTTACACACAAAATAAGTCTGGCCCATTAGTTCTAGCCTCTTATTGGCTAACTCTCACATCTTGATTCAACCCATTTCTAATAATCTGTATGTCACCACGAGGTCGTGGCTTACCGGGAAAGATTCAGCATGTCTGACCTGGCATCTTCCATCGTGGCTCTCTATGCCTTCATCCTCCCAGCCTTCAGTTCTCTCTTCCTGTCTATCTAAGTACTGTCCTATCAAAAGGCCAAGGTAGTTTCTTTATTTAACCAATGAAAGCAACACAAACACAGAAGGCCCTCCTATACCAACTAAGAGTTATCTTAACTGGAGACAGGGCTCACTTAAATT